TCCCAGCTACTTGGGAGGCTGAGGCGAGAGAATCGCTTAAGCCCAAGAGTTGGAGGTTGCTGTGAACTGTGACTCCACAGCACCCTACCAAGGGCGACACAGTCAGACTCTGTCTCAAAAAAAAAAAAAAGTTCCTGAATGTAAAAATAATAAATCCTTTTCTGGCATTGTTTAAAGTTAGAAATGTATCCCTAAGTTACCTTTAGTGATTGCTAAATTTATCTGAGGCAAGATTGCTTGAATTTAACTTCCAAAGCTGACATTTACCCTCTGTATGTGACCCTGAGCAAAACAATGAACCCAACTGTGCCTCAGTTTCCTTATCTAATAATGACAATACCTACTTCATAGGCTTCTTGTAAGGATTGAATAAATTAAAACACAATAAATTAAAACAACTCCTGGCACACAGTAAGCACCTTCCAGAAGCAGTATTTTCATAAAGCACAAGATCAATCAGTTTTCTAAAGTTCTGCACTATGACACAGTCCAGTGAATATGCTAATGACTTCTTCAAACCTCAACTACCACTTAATGACTGGTGGGTAAAGTTACAGCTTACCTGGATCAAAATTATCACCAAATATTCTCTTGGCAGGAATCTTCAAGGCCATAGCAGGAAACTGCTTCTTTAACTAAAAAGAATTAAAATAACATTACATGAACTAATTTTATAAGTGTTCTAGATATGCGTGCACCAAAACCAAATATAATCTGATTTTGAAGAAAACCCATTCTGAAACACTTTTAAACAACTGACCACCCAATGTACAGTATTAAGTTATACCAGTAGAATACCACAGACTAAGCATCTATTTATCTGCCCTAATAAAACACCTGGTGTCTGTGTTGCCTTGTATTAGTTACTTAACATCTCTGGGCCTCAGTTTTCTGGCCTGTAAAAGAGACGTAATTTTAGCAATTCTTTTTTTTTTTTTTTTTGGCTGGGGCTGGGTTTGAACCCACCACCCTTGGCATATGGGGTGACAGATCCTCAAGCTATTGCCCTGGGTATGGTGCCATGGCATCACAGCTTACAGCAACCTCCAACTCCTACGCTTCAGCGATTCTCTTGCCTCAGCCTCCCAAGTAGCTGGGATTACAGGCACCCACCACAACATTCGGCTAGTGTTTGGTTGTAGTTGTCACTGTTGTTTGGTGGGCCGGGGCTGGATTCGAAATTGCCAGCTCTGATGTATGTGGCTGATGCCTTAGCCGCTTAAGCTATAGGTGCCAAGCCAACAATAGTTTTCTTAAAAAGCTGATGAATTTTGCTTTAAATGCCCTCTGCTCTGGTCTTCTTCTTAATATTCTAATACATTCAAGGTGGCTCCCATAGCTCAGTGGGTAGGGTGGCGGCCACATACAATGAAGGTGGCAGGTTTGAGCCTGGCCTGGGCCTGCTAAACAATGATAACTGCAACAATAAAAACAACAGCGAGGGGTTGTGGCGGGGACCTGTAGTCCCAGCTACTTGGGAGGCTGAGGCAAGAGAATAGTTTGAGCCCAAGAGTTGGAGGTTGCTGTGAACTATGATGCCATGGCACTCTACCAAGGGTGACATAGTGAGACTCTGTCTCAAAAAAAAGAAAAAAATTCTAATACATTCAGATTTGCATATCCCCAAAGAAAGTAAACTTGGCCCTGAAGAAATTAAATTTGGGACAAAATGGGTTATATTTATAATATAAACTTGATATAAACAAAGCCACATGCACATATAAAAACTACAGCTCTAACACCAGGAAATACCAAGAATAGAAGAATGTATTAATCACTCTACAATATGGGTATACTGTAAACTGGAAAATCTATAATAAAAAAACCTTTTTTTCACAAAAGTTTATAGAGGAAAGAAAAGAGAAGTGAAGGGGAATTTACTAATTAAAAGACACTTGATAGGCTCAGCACCTGTGGCTCAAGCAGCTAAGTTGCCAGCCAGAGACACCTGAGCTGGTGAGTTCTAATCCAGCCCCAGCCTGCCAAACAACAATGACCACTGCAACCAAAAAATGGCCGGGTGTTGTGGTGGTCACCTGTAGTCCCAGCTACTTGGGAGTCAGAGGCAAGAGACTTGCTTGAGCCCAGGGGTTGGAGGTTGCTGTGAGCTGTGATGTCACAGCACTCTACCCAGGGCGACACTACTTGAGGCTCTGTCTCAAAAAAAAATAAATAAAAGACACTTGACAGAGCTATTAACAGTCCTACGAACACTAACTATATATATATATATATATTTTTTTGAGACAGAGTTTCAGCTCGGCACCGGTAGCACGGTGGTTACAGCACCAGCCACATATACCAATGGACCAGCTAAGCAACAATAACAACTGCAACAAAAAAAATAGCCAGGCAATGTGGTGGGCGCCTGTAGTCTCAGCTACTTGGGAGGCTGAGGCAAGAGAATCTCTTGGGCCCAAGAGTTTGAGGTTGCTGTGGGCTGTGGCACCACGGCACTCTATCGAGGGTGAC